CCCTCTCTGTAAAAAAAAAATCAATAAAATATATATTTAAAAGAAGAAGAAGAAGAAGAAGAAGAAGAAGAAGAAGAAGAAGAAGAAGAAGAAAGCAAGCCAGCCAGATGGCACCGCCCTCAGCAGCCCGGTGGTCTCGGTTCCGTCGCGCATGAGCTGATGAGAGTCTCCAGCCTCGGGAAGCTGTTTGGCAGGGATTACTGTGCGATGATCTACATCAAGCCCTTTGGCAGCCTGCCTGGGCTTTAGGCTTTTGTTATCACTGGAGATGGAGGCGGACGGGCCTCCGCTGACGTCCGGGACCCGGGCGCTGAACCCCTGGTTTTGGGGAAGCATCCCCATGTCCACATGGGCTGGAGACCACCTCGGGCGGCTGTCACCCGTTCTCACAGCCACTCCCGGCCCCTATTGCCATGCGGAAGGGCTCCGCCTCTGAAACCACCAAATCCCACCTCCCACTCCCTGACCACAGCCTCCCGGGGCTGTGGGTGGCTCGGTCGGTCCTACCTGTTTCTCCACCTCAGAGGCGCCCTGACCCTTCTCATCCAGCCGCCCCTCCGACCCCCTTCCGTCCCCACTTCCTCCGCCCCACAGTCCACCCCTTCGTGACCCCCTCCCCGGCCCCGTCTCTCTCCCTCTCCCCTCCCCTCCCCCAATCCTCAGCTTCCCTGTCTCAGCACCACACAGTCCTAGATCTGCCTGTTCTTTGCTGGAGAAAAAAACAACAACAAAATCAACCAACTGGCCTAAACTGGTTTAGCTCAGTGGATAGAGCGTCGGCCTGTGGACTGAAGGGTCCAGGGTTCAATTCTGGTCAAGGGGCACATGCCCCGATTGCAGGCTCCATCCCCAGTGGGGGTCGTGCAGGAGGCAGCTGATCAGTAATTCTCTCTCATAATTGATGTTTCTGTCATTCTCTCCCTCTCCCTTCCTCTCTGAAATCAATACAATTTTTTTTTTTTTTAATCAACCAACTGGCCAAAACTTGTTTGGCTCAGTGGATAGAGCGTTGGCTTGCGGACTGAAGGGTCCCAGGTTCGATTCTGGTCAAGGGCTTGTACCTTGGTTGTGGGTACATCTCCAGTAGGGGGTGTGCAGGAGGCAGCTGATCCATGTTTCTAGCTCCCTATCCCTCTCTCTTCCTCTCTGTGAAAAGTCAATAAAATATACTTTTTAAAAAATCAACCAACTGATCAGCTGGCTCCTTTGTCCATTCTCGGCATCTTCTCTACAGTCAGCACCCCCCACCCCACCCCCTACCCCCACCTGCCCAGGCGTCTGAGGAGATGCAATGGCTCCTGGTCTTCCTATCTCCCAAGGAGGAAACAGAAGCGGCCCAACAGGCCCTCCCTCCCTCCCCTTCCTGCACCACCTGACCCACACCCCCACCTGCCACCCAGCCGCCCTTTCCTCCTTCCTTCCTTCCTTCCTGGAACAATGGTAGGAGTGGTGTCTGTGGGGCTGCTGTCTGGGGCGAATCCCCCCACTCTCACCATTGCACCATTTGCCTCTTTGTCCTGGGCACCTCACGCCCTGGGGTTGTTAGCTCTGCACAGGGGTTCCTCCTCAGATCCTGGTGCCACCTCGGAGCTGATTGTGTAACCTTGGGTGGGTGACTCCTCCGCTTCCTCTTCAGTGCACGGAGGAGAACAAGAGTCCCTTTCTCACGGGGACCATGGGAAGGGCTCAGGGAGTGAACATACAAAAAAAAAAAATAGCATTAAGACCGTGACAGCGTGGGACAGAGATGTGCAGACTGGGACCAGCATTCTGTGGCCACATGGGGAAGGGGGCCGTCTACAAGCCGAGGAGAGAAGCCTCAGAAGAAACCCAACCTGTGACACACCTTGAACTTGGACTTCTAGCCTCCATCACGATGAGAAAATAACCATTGGGCCCTGACAGGTGTGGCTTAGTGAATGGAGCATCGGCCTATGGACTGAAGGGTCTCAGGTTCGATTCTGGTCAAGGGCATGGACCTTGGTTGCAGGCACATTCCTGGGGGGGGGGGGGTGTGCAGGAGGCAGCTGGTTGGTGTTGCTCTCTCATGGATGTTTCTAGCTCTTTATCCTTCTCCCTTCCTCTCTGTAAAAAAAAAAAAAAATCAGTACAATACATTTTTTATTTTTATTTTCATTTTTAAAATATATTTTATTGATTTTTTTTTACAGAGAGGAAGGGAGAGAGATAGAGAGCTAGAAACATCAACCAGCTGCCTCTTGCACACCCTCTACTGGGGATGTGCCCGCAACCAATGTACATGCCCTTGACCAGAATCAAACCTGGGACCCTTCAATCTGCAGGCCGACGCTCTATCCACTGAGCCAAACCGGTTTCGACACAATACATTTCTTATAAAAAGAAAATAACTATCTTTATTTTAAGCTCTCCCCCTCACCATGCCCACTCCCCAAAATAAAACAGTTCTGGCATAAAAATCAGTGCTCAAATGGGAACCAACTCCTCTCATCATCGCCAGAGATTCAAAGAGTGAAGCAGAGGTTCAGCTGGTCCCAGAGTTTGCATGCGTCCTCCTGTATCTCTACCAGCTGGATGACCTCGGACAAGCCACGTACCCTCTCGCAGCCTCAGTTTCTCTGTCTGTAAAATGGGGACAGGATAGCACCTGTCTCATGGAGCCCAGAATTGCCATAATCTCACTGCCCTTACTTTTTTTTTTTTTTTTTTTCCTGCCCCAGTGACACGGGCCTCCCCTCTGGTCCTCAGACACACACACCGGGACTCCTCCTCCCAGCTCAAGGCCTCAGTCCCGGACAATCTTCCCCCTCGGCTCGCTCCCCAATGACCTTTAAGCCATTGTTCGAAGTTGCTGTCATCAGGACTTCCCTAACCCTGCCCTTCTCCCTGCTTGCTTGTTATTTTTTTTTAAAAAAATATGTTTTATTGATTTTTTACATAGAGGAAGAGAGGATAGAGAGCTACAAACATCGACCAGCTGCCTCCTGCACACCCCCTACTGGGGATATGCCCACAACCAAGGTACATGCCCTTGACCGGAATCGAACCTGGGACTCCATCCACTGAGCCAAACTGGCTTTGGCGGGTCTGTGTTTTAGCCCAGCATCTGGCTCTCCTATGTCACCAGGGCCCGAGCCAAGGCCTTCAGCACCAAGCAGGGCACCCCCCTCCCGGGGGAGGCCAGCTTGTTGCGGGGGGGGGGGGGGGGGGAGGCGGAGCAGACATGCACAGGGGCCCAGGTGGGCGTGAGCGTCCCCAGGCAGCACCCGAGCAGAGCAGGTCCCAGGTGCAGGCAGAGGCAGGCTCAGCTGGGGAAGCCCGGGCACAGGCGGGAAAGTGGTTTGGGGGCCGACGGGGGAGGAAGGGCCAGCAGGAGGGAGAAAACAGAGAGGCTGCCTCCTGAGTCACCGCGTGTGGGTCGGGGCGGGCTGCTCGGGCTGGGGACAAATTGCAGTCATTAGGGACTTTAAGAGGCTGGGGGAGGGGCTGGGCAGGGAGGCCCCGCTCCCCCTCCCCGTCAGGACGGGTTCCCCCAACCCAGGGCCCCACCTCGGGCTTCCTGGACCTTCCTTCATCTGCCCGCTGTCTCTCCAGATCTCTCTAGGTCTCTGTCCCCCTCCGTCTGGGTCCCCATCGCTTCCTGTGCATCTGGCCTCCTGTGCCTGTCTCCCCTGCCGGGGACCCTGCTCCCTCATCGCCCAGGACTGTGAGGACCACAGAGTGAGGAAGCATGGGTGTCTCCTGCACCTCCCACCCCTGCCAGCCCCCCCCCCCTACCCCCGCCTCTCCCTCTGCTGTGTCACCTTCCAACTGCTCCCTCTGCTCACATCCCCACCACCTGTCTGGCATCTGTCCCTCTCACCTGCCTGGTCTTGCCTTATCCTTCCGGGATCTCTCTACGTGCCCACCCCCCATCATCGCTACTTTACCGCTCAGCGCCTGTGTGTGTGTGTGTGTGTGTGTGTGTGTGTGTTTGGGGGCGGGGGACCCCTCTTCTCTCTTTCCTTTGTGTCTCTTTCTATTCTGTCTGCACCTTCTTTCCTGTTCTTTTTTATTTTATTTTAATATATTTCATTGAAGTTTTTTACAGAGAGGAAGGGAGAGGGATAGAGAGTTAAAAACATCGATGAGAGAGAAACATCCATTAGCTGCCTCCTGCACACCCCCTACTGGGGATGTGCCCACAACCAGGTACATGCCCTTGACTGGAATCAAACCTGGGACCCTTCAGTCCACAGGCCGATGCTCTATCCACTGAGCCAAACCAGCTGGGGCCTTCCCTATTCTCTCTGCTTCTCGCTCAGCTTTTCCACAGAACCGCTCCATGAATATCCCTCTCTCTCTCTCTCTCCATCCCACCTCGTCTTTTTTCCATCTGCCTCCCCTGTCTCTGTCTCTCTCCTCTCTCTGCCTCTCCCACTTCTCTTGGGGCCTGTATTCGTCTCACCTCTTTCCCTGTCCACCTTCACAGACCTCTCCAGCCTCTGTCCCTCCCTCTCACAGCCCCTCCCAGCCCCTCCCTCGGAGCCCCCCTCCACCCTCACCCCATCCGCCCTGCCCCGGGTCCCTGCCCTGGACCTCTTCCAGACCCTAACACCTTTATGGGCAGGCGGGCAGGTTCGCCTCAACACTTGTGGCTGCTTTTCTGGCCAGAGAGGGAGGGAGGAGAGGGTATCCGGGAGTCTTGGAATGGGAACTAAGCAATTAATAAAACATCAGGAGGAGGAGGGCGGGTTGGGGGGAGAAGGGGGAAGGTTGGGCAGGGCCAACTGCCCAGACCAGGGATAAAAGGATCTACGGAGTGACAGGAAGGTGAGGCACCATCCCCACTTCCTCCTCCCGGTAAGACATCGAGGCCGGACGTGGTGCTCCTCGGTCAGCATCCTCCCTCCCTCCTGGCTGCAGAGGACCCCGTATTCACGTCTCCGAGGAAGGGTCTCGCTGTCTCTCTGACCCTCAGCCTCTGGTCCTTCTCTCTCACTTTCTCTAGTTTTTTTTTGCCAGAAACCCACACCCCCAGAATGCTCCTCCTGCTGGCCTCACTTCAGATCCTGGCTCTGGGTAAGAGAAGTAAGTGGGGTCCTGGGGGTAGGAGGTGCCCTGGAGATGCTGAGAAAGGAGGGGCAAAGGGCTCTGGGGACCAAGAGGCTCTTGGGTGACCGGTGAGGAGGAGACAGACTGGGGCTGTCGTTTGGAAACCCAGGCCGAGGGATGGAGCAGGGGGCCCGAGTGCTGCTGACTTGGGGTGCTATCCCAAGGTTTTTTGGGGGGTCATCCAAGAAAGGAGGGCACAGGGTGCCCCCAAGTGCTGGTGGGAGTGGCGGTGGGGTGGCAGGCTTGTGGTGGGGATGTGGTGTGGGGCACGGAGTAGGTGTGGGGAGAGATCGCGCGATGGGGGGAGGGGATGGGGGAGGAGAGGGGAAGGCCACATTGAGTGGGACATTTGGGGATGGGACCGGGAGCTCATTGAATGTTTTAGGGGAGGAGTGAGGGGTGTCTTGAGATAGAGCGTGTTTGCAGGAGGATGCTGTGGGGGGCAGAAGACACAGCAAGGCCCTGGGTGAGACTGTGGGGATGGGGTCCGTAAGCTCCCTATTGTGTTGGAGCAGACATGGAGGTCCTGGGCAGGGTTGACAGAGGCGGTGGGTCAAGGATTAAGTATAGAAAGTGGGGGGCGGAAGGGGGGGGAGTTGGGTCCAGGAGATCCTGGCTTGCTGGGGGCGGGAGGGAGGATGGACGTTGGCTCACCTGCTCTTCCCACCCCACCCCTGCCTGCTCCCAGCCATGGTCCAGAGCCAAGAGGATGAGAACAAAATAATTGGCGGCTACTCCTGCATCCAGCACTCCCAGCCGTGGCAGGCGGCCCTGCTGGTGGGTGTCGCCCGCAGCTTCCACTGCGGAGGGGCCCTGCTGTCCGACCAGTGGGTCATCACAGCCGCTCACTGCTCCCGCCCGTGAGTAGCATCCTCCCTCCCTCCCCGCTACACTTCTGCCAAGTGACCTCCCATTTGGAGGCCCAGAGCTCAGCTCAGAACCAGAACCCAACGTGGTAGCTGGGACCAGGTTGTGGGGGAGGGGCGCACAAGGGAGTCTAGAGTAAGGTGACCAGATGTCCTGCTTTTGGTGGGAGAGTCATGGTTTTTAACAATTTGTCCCGTGTCCCGCTGCGTTTTCAAAAGTCCAGATTTTTAAAAAAAATATATTTTATTGATTTTTTTTTACAGAGAGGAGGAGAGAGGGATAGAGAGCTAGAAACATCGATGAGGGAGAAACATCGACCAGCTGCCTCTTGCACACCCCCTACTGGAGATGTGCCCGCAACCAATGTACATGCCCCTGACCGGAATCGAACCCGGGACCTTTCAGTCCGCAGACCGACGCTCTACCACTGAGCCAAACCGGTTTCGGCAAAAGTCCAGATTTTTACAGCAGGGAGGGTAGGGAGATCTGAGGAAGATGAGAGATCAACTGAAGGACTTGTATACATGCATATAAGTACAACCAATGGACACAAAACTCTGGGGAGGGAGGGCATGTATGCGAGGGGGGGCAATGATATATGTACAGAGATAATAATTTAATAAATAAATTTAAAAAGTCCCGATTTTTGGAAAGATTCTTCTTTCCAAAAATCGGGACTTTTTTGGAAACGCTGCGGGATGTGGGACAAATCGTTAAAAATAGGGACTGTCTGCCAAAACCGGTTTGGCTCAGTGGATAGAGCATCGGTCTGTGGACTCAAAGGTCCCAGGTTCAATCCCGGTCAAGGGCATGTACATTGGTTGCGGGCACATCCCCGGTAGGGGGTGTGCAAGAGGCAGCTGGTCGGTGTTTCTCTCCCATCGACGTTTCTAGCTCTCTATCTCTCTCCCTTCCTCTCTGTAAAAAAAAATCAATAAAAATATATATTTTTTTAAAAAATAGGGACTGTCCCGCCAAAACCGGGACGTCTGGTCACCTTAGTCGGAGAAGAGCCTAGAACCACAGACACAGCTCCGCAGACAGAATCCAGCACAAATCTTGAACTCAGTGTAGGATCTGAAAGCAGAAGGAGAGTTTAGAACCCCCCTGTATACCAGCATGGAGGCATCCCTTCCCCCAGAACCTGGAACCCACTGTGTGATCTCGAGATCCATCCGGAGGCCGGGGCCCACAGAGAGACCGAGATTAGGGGCCCATGCTAGGTCGGTGGTTGAATTTGGGGCACAATCTAAAAAAACACAGGCCTCCCAATCAGAGAGAACACCGCCTAGAATCCAGAGTCTGGTTCAGAGCCTACCATCCAGCCACCAATCCAGAAACCCCACCTAGATCTGGGACATGCAGCTCAGAGGGTACGGTAGATCGAAGCAGGACCTGGGGCCCATTCTGGATCCCATGTTTATTTTTTTTATTTTTTATTTTTTTTAGTTTTGTTTCTTTTATTTTCTAAACATTTTTTAAAAATACACTTTATTGATTTTGTACAGAGAGGAAGGGAGAGGGATAGAGAGTTAGAAACATCGATGAGAGAGAGTCATCGATCAGCTGTCTCTTGCACACCCCCACCGGGGATATGCCCACAACCAAGGCACATGCCCTTGATCGGAATCGAACCCGGGACCCTTCAGTCCCCAAGCCGATGCTCTATCCATTGAGCCAAACCGGTCTCGGCTGGATCCCATGTTTAGTCCAGCGTCTTAGGCTACAGCTCCCCGTGGAGCAGCCTAGAACCCAGACCCCAACGCAGCGTCTAGACCCCAGAATTCAGACCATACTCTGGAGCCCCACGCAGCAACGCATAAGCCTTCTAAGCACATGAACCTAGAACCCAGGCCCCAAACGGGAGGTTTCCGTCCGACTGCCTACGAACCAGGCCCAATGCCGTACACGGAGGTTCCCTGTGGAACCCAGAGGGCAGGACTCAGCCCAGAGCCTAGAATGTGAAGCTCAGAATGCAAACCAGCATCTAGAAACTCATTGGATCCAGGAGCTTATTCTAGAACCCAGAGCCTAACCAGAGGCCAAGGGCTCAGACCAGAGTCTAGAACCAAGAGGCCCCGACAAACCAGGGATTCCATGGGAACAGTCCAGCCTAGAATCAAGATCTCAGGCTGCTGCTAAGAACCCTGAGCCCAACTGGCAGCACAGAGCTCCAACCATCGTCCAAAACCCAGCTCATAAGCCAGAGCTGAAGCAAGAATCCAAAACTCAACCTAGAAACTGGAGATCATAGCAACGTCCAGAATCCATAGCTCAAGTCTTCTTCTTAAAAAAAAAAAAAAAAAAAAATATATATATATATATATATATATATATATATATATATATATATTATTGATTTTTTTTTTAAACAGAGAAGAAAGGAGAGGGATGGAGAGCTAGAAACATCGTTGAGAGAGAAACATCCACCAGCTGCCTCCTGCACACTCCCCACTGGGAATGTGCCCACAACCAATGTACATGCCCCTGACCGGAATCGAACCTGGGACCCCTCAGTCCGAAGACCGACGCTCTATCCACTGAGCCAAACCAGTTTGGGCATCGGGTCTTTTTTAAAAAAATATATTTTTATTGATTTCAGAGAGAAAGGGAGGGAAAGAGAAACATCAATGATAAGAGAGAATCATTGACTGGCTGCCTCTTGCACGCTCTCTACTGGGGATGTAGCCCACAACCCGGGCATGTGCCCTTGACAGGAATTGAACCCAGGACCCTTCATTCCACAGGCCTATGCTCTAATCCACTGAGCCCAACCAGCTAGGGCCACAGCTCAGGTCTTAATCTATTGGTCCGTAGAGCATCCCCCCCACCCCTACCCCCAAACTGAAAGCTCAAATCAACATCTAGAACCCAGATTCAAGCCGTCGTGCGGGACTCAAAACAGAACCCTCAGCCCGCCCTACCAGTATCTAGAAAGGATGCCGCCAAAACCGGTTTGGCTCAGTGGATGGAGTGCTGGCCTGCGGACTCAAGGGTCCCAGGTTCAATTCCGGTCAAGGGCATGGACCTTGGTTGCGGGCACATCCCCAGTGGGGGGCGTGCAGGAGGCAGCTGATCGATGACTCTCTCTCATTGATGTTTCTGACTATCTCCCTTCCTCTCTGTAAAAAAAAAAAAAATCAATAATATATATATATATATATATATATATATATATATATATATATTTTAAAAAGGGATGCCACCACCCACACTCCACCTAGAACCCCAGTCCTAGCTAAGATTCCAACATGCAAAAAGTCAGGAACCCAGAGGCCAGGCCCGGAGAGGAGGCTCCCTGGAGCCTAGTCCAGAACGTCGGTTCTGATGGAGAGCCTAGAGCCGTAGCCCAGAGTCTGGCATAGAACACAAAGCATAGAACCTGGCCCCGGCCGAGAATTCCCACCCATCACCTGGCACCCCAGGCTCACCAGAGGAGGGGGAGGACGGGCCTGGGCCGAGAAAGAATATAACCCCGCCAATACCCAGCCCCTCCCCCCCCCCCCCCCCCCCCCGGTAGAGGGCGTGGGGCTGGAGCATGGGGCAGTGTCTCCGGTGTCTCCCGGTTCACATCGTGATCAGTGTTCCTCTCGTGGGTCACGGGCCAGGATCCTTCGGGTCGCCCTGGGCAAGCATAACCTGCAGAGGCGGGAGGCCACCCAGCAGGTGCTGCGGGTGGTCCGCCAGGTGCCACACCCCCAGTACAACGCCCGGACCCACGACAACGACCTGCTGCTGCTGCGATTGCAGCAGCCGGCCCGACTGGGGCGTGCAGTGCAGCCCATCCCCGTGGCCAGGACCTGCGCCAACCCGCAGACGCCCTGCCGTGTGTCCGGCTGGGGCACCACGTCCAGCCCCATCGGTGAGGACTCCTGCACCCTGGAAAGGAGCGAACTGGGAGCTGGGCTCCGGGTCCGAGGGAGGAAGAGGCAGCGGCAGGTCCCCACCTTCCAGGGTCCTACTGGCCGGTAGACCCACATCCTGACCACTCAGTGCCTCCCCAGCCAGGTACCCCAACTCTCTGCAGTGCGTGAACATCAACATCACCTCCCGTCAGCAATGTGAGCAGGCCTACCGGGGCGCCATCACCCCCGGCATGGTCTGCGCAGGAACCCCGGAAGGCGGGAAGGACTCTTGTCAGGTGAGGCCCGGGGTGAGAGCCGGGGAGGGAGGTGGGCAGGGAGGATGGCTTAGGGCCAGGACCTCGATGCAAAAGCATCTCAGGAGCATCCAAGACCTTGAGAGATTGGAATAGGCAGGCGGCCTCCTCGCGGGGAGCCCTCAGGACGGACCTGATCTCTCTGTGCCTCAGTTTCCTCCTCTGTCGAGAGGAGGTAGCACCGCGTAGAGCAGTTGTCCCTGGAAAGAGTGTGGAGCCGTGCCTGTACGTAGCTCTGGTCGCTGCTGTGGTTGTCCGGATCATGCATGCACACCTGGGGATCTGAGCTCAGGGTCTCCAGGCCTCTCACGCCATCCCCGGGAGATGGCTCCAGAGACAGGGGTGTGTGAGGAGCCACACAGTTTTCTAGAGGCAGAGCTAAGACGAAGGGGGGCTCCATTTGGCCCAGAGACAGCAGGGACCAAAGAGGGAAGGAAGGGTCCCAACCCTGGGGCTATGTCTGCAGTCTTCCCCCCGCCCCCATCCTCACCCCCGTCTCAGCCGTGTGCCTCCCCGTCTCTGCCTCTGGCTACTCCATGCACGTATCCATGTCCATCCGTCCACGGGTGCCTCCATCGGGGTCTCTTCTGCTCAGGGAGACTCCGGGGGACCCCTGGTGTGCAAAGGGAAGCTCCAGGGCCTGGTGTCCTGGGGGATGGAGCGCTGTGCCCTGCCTGGCTACCCCGGCGTCTACACCAACCTTTGCAAGTACGACGACTGGATCCATCAAACCATTCAGAGCGCATGATCGCCGCCCGTGTGAGGGAATATCGGTGCCAGCCTGCTGCCCAGACCTGCTCTCGCCACGCCAGACCAATGGCTCCTCGGCCCCCAGTCCGTCCTCCCTCAGACCCAGGAGTCCAGGCCCCCAGCCCCTCCTCCCTCAGACCCAGGAGCCCAGGCCCCCAGACCCTCCTCCCTCAGACCCAGGAGTCCAGGCCCCCAGCCCCTCCTCCCTCAGACCCAGGGGTCCAGGCCCCCACCCCCTCCTCCCTCAGACCCAGGAGCCCAGGCCCCAGCCCCTCCTCTCTCAGACCCAGGAGCCCAGGCCCAAAACCCTCTATCTCTCAGACCCAAGGGTCCAGGCCCTTAGCCTCTCCTCCCAGGAGTCCAGGCCCCCAGCCCCTCCTCCCTCAGACCCAGGAGCCCAGGCCCAAAATCCTCTATCTCTCAGACCCAAGGGTCCAGGCCCCTAGCCCCTCCTCCCAGGAGTCCAGGCCCCCAGCCCCTCCTCCCTCAGACCCAGGAGCCCAGGCCCCCAGTCCTCCTCCCTCAGACCCAGGAGCCCAGGCCCCAGCCCCTCCTCCCTCAGACCCAGGGGTCCAGGCCTCCAGCCCCTCCTCCCTCGGACCCAGACATTATTCTATTTATTGGGAGTCCAGGCCCCCAGCATCCTGGTCCTATCACTTAGCTCTGAGGTCCCTCAGATGTTCTCTCCCCACCCCCGCAGCATCATCACCCTTGACACAGAGGCAGGAGCATGAACTCTTGGCAGCATATTCCAAAGAAGAAGGCAGTGTTCAAAACGTTCAGAGTCTCTGCAAACCAGATGAATAATAATAATTAAAATGGAATAATCCCAGATTCCGCTCCTCTATTCATTGAGCTCATCCAACACATATGCACACAGCAACTCCCGTGTGCACAGCTCAGCCCCTGGCTGGCCGAACGGGATGCCTGTGGACTTCTGGGTGTTCCCTGAGGCCCTACCACACCCCCCTCCACCGGGGGAGGCCCCCAGCGCTGCAGTGGGACCCCGATCAGGACAGCCCCTCCCCCGGCTGGGACTGCTGCTTCCCATGAGCAGGCACTGCCAGGGCCCAGGGCAGGGAGGGCAGAGAGGAACTCTGTTTTCCTGGAAAACCCTATGCAAATGGAGCAGCCTCTTCCCTAATCAGATCTCGGGTGAAGAGAGTTGAGTTAATCACACGCTGAAGTTCAAGTCCTGGCAGGGCCTGGCTCTCTCTCTCTCTCTTGGGCGGTATTGGTTTATTTCCACCTGTCATCCCTGGCCTCGGTCCCCTCCCCTCCCACCCACGGGCACCTGACGCAAATGGCTTCCCATGCCGGTGCATTGTCGCTCCTAATGTACGGGAATCAATTGTTAGGAATTTCATTTTCTTTCTGGCTTTCACTCACCAACAGCTATTTCTTGGGGAGCACCTACTACCGTATGCACCAGACATGGGCCAGGCATTGGAATACTATTAGACACCTACTGTGTGTCCAAGATCAGCTTATTAGTGGGCATCTACTATGTGTCAGGCATTATTCTATGTATTGGGGCCCTACAGGTGTGCCAGGCATTGATCTGCTGATAGGCACCCACTGAGTGCCAGGCATTGGCCTGCTGATTAGGCACCTACTGTGCGCCAGGCATGTTCTAGAAGGTGGAGCTGTGCATAAGTCAGACAAAACCACTAGTAAATGCCTCCTCTCACAGAGCTGACATCCTAGCAGGAGATGACAGACGAGAAACAAGAAACTTAATAAAAGTAAGGTAGAGAGTCCGGATAAGTAAAAAGGTCCATAAACTTGGGCTGGGCAGCAGACACAGTGTGTGCCAGAGCCAGCTCATAACCAGCCCAGAAGAGCCCCTTGGCAAATTTTCAGGAATTTTTGAGAGCGGGTTGCCAAACACAGCCATTATTATTAAACATTGAATTGCATAAACTCACAATTAAACAAGGTGTATTTAAAACAAAATCCAGTCCAGCCAGAGCGGCTCAGGTGGTTGAGCGTCGTCCTATGCACCGAAAAGTTGCCAGTTCGATTCCCAGTCAGGGCACATACGTGGGTTGTGGGTCCGCTCCCTAGCAGTGGTCGGCAGACTTATTAGACCATAGAGCCAAATGTCAACAGGACAACAATTGAAATTTGTTTCAAGAGCCAAAGTTTTTAAACTTAAACTTCTTCTAATGCCACTTCTTCAAAAATAGACTCTCCCAGGCCATGGTATTTTGTGGAAGAGCCATACGCAAGGGGCCAAAGAGCCCCATGTGGCTCGCGAGCTGCAGTTTGCCAACCATGGCTTCCCAGGGACGTGTACAAAAGGTAACTAATAGATGTATTTCTCTCTCTCTTCTCTCCTCTCTCAAAGCATGTTCATTAAAAAATGAAATATGACAAAACCAGTCTGGCTCAGTGGGTAGACCATCGGTCTGTGGACTGAAGGGTCCCAGGTTCGATTTCGGTCAAGGGCGTGTACTTTGGTTTCAGGCACATCCCCAGTGGGGGGTGTGCAGGAGGCAGCTGGTCGATGTCTCTCTCTCAATGTTGTTTCTAACTCTCTATCCCTCTCTCTTCCTCTCTGTAAAAAATTAATAAAATATATTTTTAAAAATGAACTAAATAAAGCTGAAATAAAAAAAAACACTCAAAACTAACTAATTCCTAATTATCTTTTCCAATATTTATGCTTGGGCGTTATTTATATCTATCACATTACATCTGTAATGGTGGGCTTCTGAGCATTGTATTTTTAAAAATACTTTTATTGATTTTAGAGAGAAAGGGAAAGGGAGAGAGAGAGAGAAACATCAACGATGAGAGAGAATCATCTATCAGCTGCCTCCTGCATGCCCCCTACTGAGGATCGAGCCCGCAACCTGGGCATGTGCCCTGACCAGGAATCAAACCATGACCTCCAGGTTCACAGGTCGATGCTCAACCACTGAGCCACGCCGGCCGGGCTCAGCATCTGTTTTTTTCTTTTCTGATTCAGTGTCAAGCGACTTTGCAATGATAGGTTGATATCAACTCAAAGGGCAGTGTTTACACCACAGAAATGGGCAAACGGTGCACATCAGAGAGCTATTGTCCGTCGCCAACACACTCCTGGACAGGCCGTCCTGGGGGCAACCAGCTGACCTTGGTGTCTGTCTTCTCATAGCTCCGTGCTGGGGGGCTGCACGGTTCAGAGTGGACGCCGTCTGGCTTCACCTGTGCCCACGTGCCGCGCTGAGGGGACAGCACAGAATCAGAGCTCTGAGCTGGCAGCTCTGGGCCCTGTGTGTGACCACAGCAGCTCAGAGGATTTCCAGGAAATGTCCTGGCTCCGTTGCTCAAAGCATCATCTGGATACGCTGAGGTTGTGGGGTTGATTCCCAGACAGGGCACACACAGGAATCCATCAGTGAGTGCATAAGTGGGCAGAGCAATCTCTCTCTCTCTCTCTCAAAATTAATAAATTGACCCTAGCTGGTTTGGCTCAGTGGGTAGAGCATCAGCCTGCAGACTGAAGGGTCCTGGATTCAATTCCAATCAGGCCACATACCTGGGTTGCAGACTCAATCCCCCAGTAGGGGGTGTGCAGGAGGCAGCTGATCAATGATTCTCTCTTGTCATTGATGTTTCTATCTCCCTCTCCCTTCCTCTCTGAAATCAATTTTTAAAAAAAAGAATTTATAAAAAAAAATAAATAATTGATAAAAATTAATAGCCCTAACTGGTTTGGCTCAGTGGATAGAGTGTCGGCCTGCAGACTGAAGGGTCCCAGGTTTGATTCTGGTCAAGGGCACGTACCTTGGTTGTGGGCACATCCCCCATGTGAGGTGTGCAGGAGACAGCTGATCAATGTTTCTCTCTCATTGATGTTTCTAACTCTCTATCCCTCTCCCTTCCTCTCTGTAAGAAATTAATAAAAATATATATATATTTTTTGCCGAAACCGGTTTGGCTCAGTGGATAGAGCGTTGGCCTGCGGACTGAAGAGTCCCAGGTTCGATTCCGGTCAAGGGCATGTACCTGAGTTGCGGGCACATCCCTGGTAGGGGCGGCTGATTGATGATTCTCTCTCATCGATGTTTCTGACTCTCTGTCCCTCTCTCTTCCTCTCTGTTAAAAATCAATAAAATATATTTTAAATATATATATATTTTTTTAATTAATAATTTTTTTAATTCAAAAGAAAAAAGACTGCTGGGCAATGGAGGCTGCACTTGTGTTGAGGTCTCTCTCTCTCTTTCTCTCTCTCTTTCTCTCTCTCTCTCTCTTTCTCTCTCTCTCTCTCTCATGCACGCACGCACACACACACACACACACTCACTGTGGCCAAACCAGCTCTGTGAGGCCGGGGAAAATAAGCAGTGGCGTGGCTGGGTCGCGTCAGGCCTGGGTGAGACGAGGACAGGACACAGCCCTGCTGTAACTCTTGGCCTGCCTCCTTCCAGAAAGCAAAGTAAACATGCCTTCAAGATTACTCTAATCTGATTTCTAGCCCAGACGCCCAGATGTGGAGGTTGAGTGCCATCTTTTATTGCTTCTCAGATGCACATTTCTTTCTTAATTTTTAATGTTTCTAAAAGTGGAGGGCAGCCCTGGGCATCGAAGGGTCTTGGGTTTGATCCCCAGTGAAGGATATATATCTGGGCTGCAGTTCAATCTCTGGTCCTGGTTGGGGTATGTGTGGGAGGCAACCAATCCATCTCTCTCCCTTCTCCTTCTCCTTCTCCTTCTCCTTCTCCTTCTCCTTCTCCTTCTCCTTCTCCTTCTCCTTCTCCTTCTCCTTCTCCTCCTCCTCCTCCTCCTCCTCCTCCTCCTCCTCCTCCTCCTCCTCCTCCTCCTCCTCCTTCTCCTTCTCTTTCTCCTTCTCCTTCTCCTTCTCCTCCTTCTCCTCCTTCTCTTTCTCCTCTTTCTCCTCTTCATCCTCTTCCTCCTCCTCCTCTTCCTCCTCTCCTTCTCCTTCTTCCTTTTCCTCCTCTCCTTTTTCTTCTTCTTCTTCTTTTTCCTCCTCCTCTCCTCCTCCTC